CATTGGCGTGTCGCCATTGCTGGCGTGCAGTGTAGGAATGATAAGCTCCTTCCCCTTAGATCCTTTACATTTGGTTTACCTAGGTGTTATGAGAAGACTTTTCAACCTGTAGCTACGCAGCCCTAGGGACAGTGCGTATATGTTGTCCATATCGGCAGTGTCGACTATAAATAATAACTTGCGCGCGTTGAACCCCTACCTGCCGAGAGAATTTTCGCATCGCGCTAGGTCATTAAATGACATGGACACCTGGAAGGGTACAGAACTGCACCAATTCTTGTTATGTACTGGCGTAGTTGTTCTTAATGGTGTGTTTCCACGTAAGTATGGGAGGCACTTCCTACTGCTCTTCACGGCAGTACGCTGCTTAGTACGGCCACGCGCATGTAGAGAGTGGGTCCCTTTTTGCAGCCGTGTATTACGAGATAACTATCTCGTTTTCCCTTCCTCCTAAATGAACAACCCCCCAGATGTACCTGAATTTTAACTTTTGCCGTCTTCTCTTTTTCGTCTAATCCCGACTTTACATCTGAAATTGCGACTCTACCTTTTTCCCGTTCACTTTATCCACAACACTTCTTGTCATGTCTGTCAACTCGAGTCCAAGCAGAATGTTTGTTCTTTCAAGTTCAACCATCTAAAAGTAATAATTTGCACAGTATTTGGTCGTTTAGCACCGTTATATTTACATTTTCATGCCGGACGCGACATACTACGAACGTAGTCGCTTTTGAACGTGGAAGTACTTATTAACCGATGTTGTGTTTTACCTTCAGTGTCCCACGAAGGCGAGAGTCCTACCGGCAACGAGTCCTGAATCCGAACTTCCCACTGGAATCGTCGCATTGTAAATAGTTGGCCCTATAACTCCTACAAGAGCGGGAACAACCGTAGAAGGAAGACTTGAAAAGTGAACCTTTCAGTCTTACACACGCATTTACCTACTGTTTCACATAATAGTAAAGAGGGTTCTCCTGTTGTTGCGAAATATCTATTCCTCTTCTTATGTTTTTCGTAAGCCTTAAATACTGCGGTAAATGTGACGCATAGTAACAGATAAAAATTTCCTCAGATTTGAATGGTTAGTATTTCAGCGGCAATCGGTTTTTGGCGGCCTCATTTGAGTTATCAACTTTGAGCCGGCCACTGTAACGGTGGCAGTACAGCTACAGACGCGCACGACCTAGAGAAAGTGAAGGCGTACACACGCGCTGGGGTCTAAGAACCTCAGCAGGGGACACTGATGCACACAACACGCCCAAAGTAGCAGCCTGTGGCAACTGTTTGCTGTGTCTTCTGTATGCTACGGATCTCAAGTTCTTCATGCCATTTGCCTTCCTGCACGGCCCTTCATCATTAATTTATTTGATCGCGTGTCGTATTTTAATGTCATCTACAAACATGACTCCCCTGCAATCTAGTCCTGTCATGCAGCCGCTGACATAGATGAACAACATCAGGGCTCCAAGAATGAAGCTCCAACATACCTCACTGGCAACTAGCTCTAATACGGATTTCGCACTGCCTAGGCACACCGAGTGTATTCGGTCGATCTTGAAGTCCTCTGTTCATTTCGGTAGGCTTCCCTGCGTCTCAAATACTCTAGGCTTGTAAAGTAAGCGACGATGTGAAACACAAGCGAAAACTTTATTGCAATTGATGAAAAAACGCCGGCTTTTGTGTCCAATAACTCATGGGATCGATTCTGCACTGAATAGAATGCACTGACTTCGTCAAAAACCGTGTTGAACACCTTTGAGCGTGTCGTCCACTTCAAGGAAATTCATGGTATATTCTCTGCTGATTGGTTCCACAACTTTGAGACGAATGTATATCAATGAAGTACGCGAGCCTGGTGGATTATAGGTGAATAACTTAGGAAATCCTGCTTGGGCAGTCAACTTACTGTATCAGATTTGGTGGATTCCAGACTTTGCCGTGGTTTGGGCGGATAAACTGGACCCAAATGTGATTAAACTCGCGTCGTCCGGCGGGGCCTCGTAGCTCAGGTGGTTAGAGCGTTGGCTGCGCTAAAGCCTTATCCTTACTGCGTGGGTTCGAATCCCGCTGAGGCGCCGAGTTTTTCACAGTAGGGTCAATTCGAATGCATATTAGGTTCACCTGCCTATAACTGATGGCCATCGTTCTTTAACCACAATTTTCGAATGGAATATATTTAAGTCACATCCCAGTCGGCGGTAAGGATGCATCGGTTGAAGAACGATTTAAAATACGTGAAATTGGTCTGGATAATTTGCAAACAATCGTCTTGAGTACTTTTGTCGATATTTGGTCTTTCCAAGGAGACGTCGGTTTTTTAGGCGGAAGAAGTCCTTTCCTCACTCGTTCTTATGAGGAGTCATGGCTTGTTATGACTGTGTCATTACGTTCGTCATTAACTTGCTTGACTGTACTTTTCATGGAAACACACTCGTGGTCTAAACAAACAAAAGACAAAACCTTCCACGAATAGTTCAATTCAAAGGAAATATTGGGTATAGGTTGGTGCTCCTGGCACTGGTTCGCCTGTCTCCGTGCGATGAATTCGCAAGTGACCGAGCAGGCCGAGGTGAGAGGTGAATGTGCGTGGACAGTGTGGGCAGGCGAAGTCGGTGGTGTTGGGGTCAGTTGCAAAAACGATGATGGGCGCAAAGGGTGATGAAGTGGGGATGGGGTTTGGCGTGGTGGGTTAGTCGGGAGGACGGTCAATTCCGCTCTCGTGGATGCGCATGTGGCCGAACAGGCCCGTGCGATGCGTGAAGGTGCGAGGGCAGCGGGGGCGGGTGCGGTGGGTGTAGGTTGGTGCTCCTGGCACTGGTTCGCCAGTATCTGTGCGATGGATTAGCAAGTGACTGACCAGGTCGATGTGTGATGTGAAGGTGCGGTCGCAGTGAGGGCAGGTGAAGCCCTGGTCCTCACCCCTGGAGTCGGAGATTGGAGGGATGGTGTCTGTTGTTGTGTCATGGATGTGTGTGATGCTGGTGTGTGTGTCGGCCACCAGCGCGGCCGTGGTTGGTGCAATGGGGCAGGAGGAGGAAGAGGCGGGGGAAGAGGTGTAGGAGGAGGGGGAGGACGGAAGTGCTGGTTCAGAAGAATTGTCATAGTTGGTTAACGGTGGAGAGGACGATGCAGAGGCGGGTGGAGGGGCGGCGGTTGGTGCGGTATGGGATGTGCAGTTGGTCCGAAGATGTCCAATGAGTCCAGTTCGTGCCCGGAATGTCCGTTAACACCGAGGACACTTTCGAAGCGGTTGTACGTCGGCGTTGCGGACGGGGCGTAGCTGTGATTTGCGTGCTTCGCGTTTCACTTTGGCAGCGGCGATTCAGTTGGCCTCATAGATCGCAGCGCCTGACTTCACTTTCCTCCTCCAGGTCGGTCGGTCGAGGAGGAGCTCTTCCCAGTTAGTCGATTTAATTTGCAGATGCTTCAGGCAGGACTTCAGAGTATCCTTGTATCGACGAAATCGGCCTCCTTGGCGGCGAGAGCTCGTCGCGACGTCTCCGTAGAAGAGTCGTTTGGGTAGTCGCTCGTCGTCCATGCGCACCATGCCAATTCGTTGAAAAGTCCCATTTCGCAAGTGCGGCAGGCAAGTAGGCTTTTGGTTCTAGCGCCATCTGGTTTCCATCGTCGACTTTCTTCCTTCTGGTTTCAATCTTTATAGGAACAAATGCTCCGTCTTTGCAGAAGTAATAGCGATAATCCCTTCTTAACCTCGCCTCATCCGTTTCAACCCCTCTCTTTGATTTTTCTTCGTCACTCTGGTTCTTCTCCCCACTTGTGTTAATAAGACATTTTCCTTCCTCTTTCCATTTCAGTCGTCTGTGGGTAGAAAACGTTAGACCATTAAGCCATTAGAGTTCGACTTGCATCCTTATGCGGAATGTGACATACAAAACAGTAGACATATTGGAAAGCGCAATCCCACGTTAGCCGACATCATGCTTACCTTGAGTGCCCTACGATTGTCACATTTCTATGGAGGACAGGGACTAAGTTTACAGTTGTAACAGCTACATTGTAAGTAACTGGCCCTATAGTTCCTACAAAAAGCAAAAGACGGCAGCAGCAGGATGATTTGCAAAACATTACCATTCCAGCCTTACACTCACACACACTTACCAACTGTTTCACTTAGCATAACGGAACACCCCTCTGTTGGCGTAAAATAGGTATTCCTCTTTTTATGACTTTCATACGTTTTTATTAGTAGAATTAGAATGCTGCACAACAAGAGATGAATAATTCTCAGGTGACTGCCTGGAGCTGAACGGTCAACACTGTAGAAGTAATCGATATTTGGGTCCCCTTTGAACCATCCATTTTCGACCAATCAGCACAGCGGTCTCAGAGAAGCACTTATCCTGCGCGAGATATGGGCTGACAGCCTGGTTTAAGCCGTCAACTGTACATATCTAATCCCCGGTTAAAATGATATAAAGTACTTTGTTGGCAGCCATAGAAGAAGACAGGGGAGGGGTGGGGCCTAGCAGGATACCCCGAAGGGCAGCAGTAAGAATAGGGACCTTATTTGAAGATAAAGACTCCACTGTTATTGATGAATAAAATCGAAGTGGCTGACAGTCAACTAAAGCGGCAAGCTTGGTGAAGCGGGTGTGACGTGAATAAACTGCAATCAGACAGTAGCCCGGTCAGTGTCATCACTAAGGCATGTCATGCATGTGCAATATCATAACGATCGTATCTTTGCTTACTCGTCGTAATGAACGCAGTATGTCTAAGGGAAATATTTCCTTTAAATTAAACTATTCGTTGAAGGTCTTGTCTTTTGTATGTTTAGACCACGAGTGTGTTTCCATGAAAAGTACAGTCAGGTATATAACCGGGCTTAAAAATAATAAGAAACTAGCACATCGAAATTTCTCACTAACTGGTGACTTATTGGCTGGTCGATCTCCTTATCGGTAATTGCAATGAGAGTTCGACCACTGTTACCGCCGCTGTCCACCGTGTGCTCACAGTCGGGCCAGGGAGCAGGTACGGTGACTTGCCTATGAGTTGGTTTAAAGTGGTAGTCGACATGTGCAGCATCTATTCCACTCTCTCTCCCCCTCCTCCATATGGACCCGGTGTCAAGGCAGAGTCAATAAGACCGCACCACCACCACTAACACCATCAGTCGACCATGCCAGCCACCGCGTCCATTTTCCACTCCAGTCTGCTGACCGTCTCGGACAGCGACTGGGGTTTGGGAATAGGTAGGGAGAGTGAGGTTGACGACTCAGCACACATTCTCCTCATTATAAACAATCTGACGCGCTTGAAGCTATCAAGGTGCGCTAAAATCCGTGGCCTGGAAGGTTGCCAACTGACGGGATAACATGGACCTCATCCTGGACTGGAGGTATGAGAGTCAGGCAGCAATGGCTCCTTCTTAATTTGGCCTTTATGGCACTCCCACTGTGTGGGATCCGAGCCAGGCGTCGACGGCACGCCTAGGGGCGGCTTCGGCCGTGTCAGCCTCCGGTCTCGGTTGTGTTGGTTAAAATCCTGGTTATTTGTTGTGTGGACCAGGGGGTGTGTTGGAAAGCCAAGTTGAGGATCCGTCCGAGGCATCCACCTGCGGCCGCCCTCGTCTCCGGTTTTCCTGACTCTGTCTTGACACCGGGCTCGGGCGAGGGAGAAGGAGAGAATGTAGGCAGATGCAGCGCAAGTCTACCGGCACTATAAACCCCTGCGCAAGTCAACGTCCCTGCTCCCACCGCTGCTGCTGCTGCTGTGCGGCACATGGTGGACATCATCGCAATCGATGGTCAAACTGTCAATTAGTTTGGTGTTGGTCGATACAAAGTTCTCAACAAGTCCCTTGTTACATCTTTCATTTCTATCAGACACCCCTAGCCTATCCTAACCGATCCACATGCAAAGTTCGATTTTGTCATACACCATGAGCCGTCAAGATTAGGCCCATGCTAACTTCACTGAACAGGCCTCGTATTTAACCCATATATTCAAACTATATTAACCATATTTTTCACAAACTGACACTTCTACCCATCGAAAACCATCAAAAGAGGATCTGTAGCGGTACAGCCTAGCCATTGATGGACTATATACGAAGTGGATTCATTGATTACACAAGTGCCCGCTCTCCTGGAAGAAAGTATCCAGAAGACAAGTACGATACCACTGCGCTTGAATGTCAAGGGCAAGTGAAGCCTTCAGTGACACGGTACTTTCAACTTATGGAATTCCCCGAAGCATAATTTAATAAGGCTTTCAGGCTTCTATGCTATTTATTATGAAAAATTTTTCCAAACTATTTGTAAGCTTACACTATACAAAGAAATTCGCGTCCATAAAATGTCTGTTTTCTTAGCTCTGTCCAACAAAACGCGCAGCAGATTCCGTTGCTGTAAACACGTTCGACAAAGTTGACATTTAGTATGGGTGCGGATTCCCAGTAACGCCTGCCGAACCCCAATCTAGTCCCCGTGGTGGCCCAGCGCATCTACCGCGTGTTGTCTTTTAGGGGCACTGTGTAAATGCAGGAGAAGACATAAGACAAAATTTCCGGAATGGCAGAGGTTGCGCTATCCTCCGATGCCTGTAATTAAAAAGAACCAGATATGTGAAGACCGGTCCCATGTTTACAACCCCGTTGCTTACTTATCTCAGCAATTCTCTATAGCACTAAACATTTTATTTCCAGTACGCCTGCTAGTAAATTTGAGCCTATTGCAGGAGTCAGCTTACATTGGACAATTGAGAGGCAGATAATACATCGAAAGTTCTGCTGCACTGCAAATGTGCGCAAACTGAAATTCGAAGTGCAGACAGACCAATTACTGATCAGTAAGTGAACGGGCAAGATGGACAAAAACAAACGAAATGACCGAGTTGTGGACGTGTACGTTACCTCCCAAAGTGGGTGAGATCCGAGACCACAAAGTGCATAATAATGTCAGATATGAGCACGATCATAGAGAAGTAAAAAGCCTTTGTTAACTTGATAGAATGATAAGAATTGAAGGGCCAAACACAACTGGGTACCACCACCCCCCCCCCCGAAGAATTACGCTTATCTTGCGCAACACCTTAGACTCAAGGCAAAATGCAAGACAACACTGCACGTGACGTATTTCAACTCTTAAAACAAGAGTGAATGGTTGCAAAGTAACGAACGTAATGACACAGTCATAACAAGCCATGACTCCTCATAAGAACGAGTGAGGAAAGGACTTCTTGCGCCTCAAATACCGACGTCTCCTTGGAAAGACCAAATATCGACAAAAGTACTCAAGACGATTGTTTGCAAATTATCCAGACCAATTTCACGTATTTTAAATCGTTCTTCAACCGATGCATCCTTACCGCCGACTGGGATGTGACTTAAATATATTCCATTCGAAAATTGTGGTTAAAGAACGATGGCCATTAGTTATAGGCAGGTGAACCTAATATGCATTCGTCTCAAAGTTGTGGAACCAATCAGCAGAGAATATACCATGAATTTCCTTGAAGTGGACGACACGCTCAAAGGTGTTCAACACGGTTTTTGACGAAGTCAGTGCATGCTATTCAATGCAGAACCGATCCCATGAGTTAGAAGACACAAAAGCCGGCGTTTTTTCATCGATTGCAATAAAGTTTTCGCTTGTGTTCCACATCGTCGCTTACATTACATGCCTAGAGTATTTGAGACGCAGGGAAGCCTACCGAAATGAACAGAGGACTTCAAGATCGACCGAATAAACTCGGTGTGCCTAGGCAGTGCGAAATCGGTATTAGAGCCAGTTGCCAGTGAGGTATCTTGGAGCTTCGTTCTTGGAGCCCTGATGTTCTTAATCTATGTCAGCGGCTGCATGACAGGACTGGATTGCAGGGGAGTCATATTTGTAGATGACATTAAAATACGACACGCGATCAAATAAATTAATGATGAAGGCCCGTGCAGGAAGGACTACCTCGTCAATACGTATGATCCGATATGTGGTTGTTTAATGTTATCTTGAGAGGTGGGTTACACTGCGGCTCGAAACGAAGAATGCTTGGACAAAGGGCAAATAGCATCCATACTTCCTTGACAGAAGGGCCCTGGCAAATGAAATTCAACGGATGACCTCGAAGTTGCGATTTGTTCATCTCTGAATCTTCCATTCCAATGTGTCAGGGCGGCAAATGTTGCCTTCGCACTTAAAGTGTCTTCCATTGACATAGATATGGAGTTTGTGAAAAAAACATGCTGGGCATTTAGCCGTTCGCAATCAAGATAGAACAATATCAGTTGTGGTACTTCTGGCTGTAGAAGATTGTAACTCAGTGGAAGGAGTGTAAAAAAGAGGCAAAAGGCATGAAGAACTTGAGATCCGTAGCATACAGAAGACCCAGCAAACAGTTGCCACAGGCTGTCTCTTTGGGCGTGTTGTGTGCATCAGTGTCCCCTGCTGAGGTTCTTAGACTCCAGCGCGTGTGTACGCCTTTGCTTTCTTTAGGTCGTGTCCGTCTGTAGCCAGTCAGCGAGGGAGGAGCGTTAACTTATCTTCGAGATTTCGTAAGACTAGTGCCAAGCCTCACGCGGATCCAACATCGAATCGACAGAAAGCGTGGGGCGGAGAGGAGGACGGCTGGAGTAAACAGTGACAATCAAGTTGGCGGACTGCCACAGTGCCCCATCCTTCCCGGCTTGACCGAAGCGGCGTGCATCGACTTCGAAGGAAATATTTATGTCTAGAAAACATGAGTAATCAAATGGTCAGCAAAGGAACTGGACGTCCATCGGGGATGATATATACAGACGGCAGAATTGAAACTTAAATTTGTGCTTCGACCGAGCTGTTGGTGATGAAGTTGCAGTTGGAGGTAGTGGAGATGAAGGAACAGAATGCTTACCAGACGAGGGCATAGGAGTAGAAAGGGTTGGGGAAGCCGGGGGCAGCGGACAACAGGGCTCATGGGGTGGAATGTCCGGGACAGCAGCCCTAGGACGGACTACGCCCACAACTTCTACCCGAGTTTGGCTTTTGACAAGACCCGTCTTTTGGATGAAGCAGATCTCCAACAGAACCAGGGGAGATGGTACGTCCAGTTCTCTGGACCGCCTGCAGCGCATAGGAGCGTTTCCAGCTGGCGGTGAAACCTCCTGATCATCCCATTGGTAATCAGATTATGGGCTGTCGTGCGGACCACTCGCAGTCTCAACGCGACAAACCCGTCTCTCTCCTTATAACACATCACCATAACTGTCTTCAGCGGCCTCACCAGTGATGACATTCCGATCATCCCGCAAAACATTATCACTATTGATCTGGCCACCAGAATCATGGGCCTAACTTACCAGCTTACCAAAGGCAAGATAGTTTATGATAGTGTCTCCGAACATGCTAGGTCAGGTGAGGATTTTTTTTCCGTGGACA